TAGTCTAACTCCTAGAACTCAGCCCCCACACCACCTGAGCTACAGCTCTTAGGGTAGATTGGTTTAACTTTAAGAACCTCGTATTTGTCAAACCACGATTTTTATTTTTTAAATACAAAATTGCATTGTGTCTGAAATATGAGTACACGTTACTTTTTTAATAATAGTCAAAAGAATAGTTTCTCTGTTCTCACCGAAAAAAAAATTAAGTGCTGTTTGGATGAATTTTTTCTTTCTAAAATTTATTTTTTTTAAGAAAAAAATATTTCTAAAAAAAAATTATTTGAATGTCTGTATTTAAAAACAAAAGTGAAAATTCTTTCTAAAAGTTATTTTTTTTAAGAAAAAAATATTTCTAAAAAAAATTTATTTGGATATCTGTATTTAAAAAAAAAGTCAATTTTTTTTATAAGTTAAAATTTTAATTTCTAAAAAAAACAGAAGTTAAAAGCTAATTTTTTTAAAAAAAATCCAAATAACTTTAGTTTTTATAAAATATTATAAGTAAGACATAAAAAATATTTGTTTTGAAGTTCATCCAAATTGACCCTAAATGATCTGATTCTATCGTGATCATTTCATTAGGAAGATAACTCTTAGGGCCTGTTCCGTAGGAGTTTTTCTTCAAAATACTCTGGCAAATTAGATTTGGATTTGAACTTAACTATGGTTGGTAGAAATCTCAAAAAAATTCTACTAGGAAAATTGTTTACCCATGCATTGACAATTGTGTGAAAATTTTCATTGAAAATACTGTGCGAGAAACTCACATCATATGTGGTATTTTGTGTTTACCCGATAAACGAAAAAATCAGCGCGAATTATTTGTAAAAAATGACCCTCATATTTTATTCAAGGATTATTTTTCTTACAGATTCAAAAATTAAAATGCCCTTTTTCTTAATTTATACACGTTACCCCCTCGATATTTACCTTCAATCAAACATAGACTTTTTAAACTTAAATCAATTTTTTCAGTAATATTTTAAGGCTTTAATGTTTCTACAGTGAATGTAGATAAGTTATCTACATTCGCTCCCAAAAAGACGTCATTTTGAGTTAAAAAATTATAATGAAAAAGACTATTATAATCCTGAAATAAATTATAATTACAAAAATACCGTGATTTCTGTCTCAAAACGACGTCATTTTGAGTTCAATGTAGATAAGTTATCTATATTGATCGTAGAAAAAGCGAATCTGTATTTTAATCTACCAAACAATTTTTTTAATCTTTCTAATCAAATTTGTTTTCATACAATATTTCGGCAAAAAAAATTTAATTATTGCATTTTAATTAAATAATTACGTATTTATTGCAGTTTTAAAAATAATTACGGATCTATTGCACAATGTGACGCCTTTTTTGGGCGTCTCACCACCATAATTTAAATTTAAATCAGGTAATCCTTCATCCTTAGAGCTTTAAAATATTTATTTAATTATTTCCTTTATTAATACAGATTTTTCAAATTGATTTTTAAGTTTAAATCACAAATCAAATCTTTATTTTGTTTTTCTTATTAATAATAATTGTTACTTTTGATTTAAATCACAAACAAAAAAAAATTTATAAAAAAATAAAAAATTTATTTTTAAATTAAATCACATATCAAATCTTGATTTATTTTTTATATTAAATCAGAAACGCAGAACTCAGAAGCTTTTGAATTTAAAAATATGACACGTGTCAACACCTGACACGTCACCAATCACGTCTAAATTGAGTTTCAATCAAGAGACAATCATGCCTAATTTAGGTAATTTTATTTTTGAAAAACATTCATAAACCATCATTAACTTCAGACCACGAATAATAACCCAGAAGCTTATAGCATTAGTCATTAATTTCAAAAATAATATCCTTCTTCTTTAGAGATTTAGAATATTTATTTAATTATTTTTTTTATTTCTACAGATTTTCAAATTGATCACAAATCAAATCTTTATTATGTTTTTCTTATTAATAATAATTTTAATTTTAATTTTTAATTTAAATCACAAACCAAATTTTTGTTATAATAAAAAAATTATTATAAAAAAAAAAGTAAATCACAAATCAAAATTTTATTTATTTTTTTATATTAATCACAAACCCAGAACTCAGAGACTTCTGGGTTTAATCGCTCTTATAATATCATTCTTGCAAATTAAAATTGTGTTTGTGAGAAATGAAATATGTCAAATGAGATGTCATTGCGTAGATCTCGAAAATTTATGTGGAATCAAAGAAAGAATTACCTGATTTGGATACCCGAGTTAAAAGTTATGGCCTTCAGAAGTTTTATGATTAAATTATTTTTTATTTTAGAAAAAAAATATGACACGTGTCAACACCTCATGAGAGACGCCCCATTGGAGCGTCTCACCCTAAGGGGAGATGCCTAAATGAGGCGTCACATTGTACAAAAGATCTGTAATTATTTTCAAAATTGTAATAAATGCGTAATTATTTTATTAAAAAGCATTAAATTAATTTTTTTGCCACAATATTTCTAATAATTATACTTTTCTGATAAGAAAAAATTCCTTCTCTTTCCTCATATGGAATATGCTCGAAAAGCACTAAGAGGGCGTTTGGTTCCAAGCTTTTCAACAGATTCCTATGCAAATGAAGTATAGTTTTTAGAAACACAACGTTTGTTTCAACAGATTTTTACCAAATTCCCATCCATGTCATTTGCATGGGTTTTTCAACTTTTGATGAGAAAGAAAGCTTTTCGCACTGTTGAGAAAGCGAATGTGAGGGTGGTTTTTTTGGAAAACCCGGGCAATGCATTGTTTGCATACTTTTTGAACTCTCATTATACCCTCCTCGGGGATAAAATTGGTCCACTGTTTGGTCCGCTGTTTGTTTGTTTAGGATAAAGGTATCGGGGATAAAATTGTAATTTTATATCATTTACCTATCTATATTTTTTCCAAAACCAAACATAGGTTTTCAAAATTTTCATATATTTTTCCGGTAAAATTTTATCCAATCAAACAACTTTTTTTTATATTTTTCTATCTATCTCACTTTCTTACCATTTCCCTATCAATTTTATTTTTCTAGTATTCAAAAAATTTCTCCTCAACCAAACGCCCCGTAAAATAATCCTGTTCTCACCACGCAGCTTCGTCACACGTTATTTTTTAACAACTACTTATTTGAAGTCGCACTATGCGACCTTCATGTTTATCTCATTTTTTAATTCCTAAGCCGTTGAGGCCAACAACGACTTTCATAAATTTTTTATTTTTTTAGAGAGATATTATATTTATCCCGCTTTTATCTTATAATTGTTAGAAAAAAAAATTATATAAGGGCAATATTAATCATTTAGTACTATGTTTTAAAATTAATCAAGTTAAAGAGTATTTTAATTTTAATTATTTTGATTATCTTATTGTGACAATGTTGAGTTGAGCTTGCGATATCTGTTGTTATTGAACATATTAGAATCACTAGCGAACGCACGTTTGTGCAAATGTCCACACTTGCGGATATAAAAATTTAATTTTAGTTTTTTTCTTCTTCTTTTTCTTTGTTGTAGATCCTTATTTGTCTCTTGGTTCAATATTTATTTTAGTCAGTGTTAATTTTGCAATGCACATGTTAAGAACCTTGAGATACACCACCCCAAAAGCTAGCTCAAAGGATGAGAGTGTCCCAGGCCATATAAAGGTCACAAAGGCCACATTAGTTGCTCATACAACCAATGTGGGACTCCAAGTCTCATACCTTGCAAATGGAATCGTAACATTCAATCACGCTCCGCAGCCCTGACGCCCACGCGGGCTGACTCTGCGCTATTTTTTACTAGCTCCGGGTGAACACTGCAATGCCGGCGTCACCACCTACACCGCTCGATTGTAATCGGGAGACATAGTGGAAGACATACCATTTGATAAGAACCTTGACATGCACCACTCCAAAAGCTAGCTCAAAGGGTGAGAGTGTCCAAGGCCTTATAAAGGCCACATTAGTTGCCCATACAACCAATGTAGTACTCCAAGTCCCATACCTTGCAAATGGGATGTAACAGATGACTTAATTTTCTGGGTTTGCACACTTCAATCGCTCAACTCAACAATCATTGGACATAGCTTCACTGTCATACTTGCTTCACTGGTAACATTTAATTTATAGGAAAAATGTTTGTCCTTTTAAATGACACAACTTGTGTCATTTCACTCTCACAAAAAGGTGAGACCCACACCTTTATTTTTTTTGTACACTCTCTTCCCCATGATCTATCTCTTTCTCTCATTTAAAATGACACAACTTTACATATTTTAAAATGACACACATTTTCCCCTTAATTTATACATCATTTTTTACTAGTTTATGTTTCTATCTGCCTAGAATTGCTATTCACCCTATATGTTTTTTCTACATTGATAAGTCATGTGAAAGTTATATCAAAAAAAATTTCTGGGTCGCTGCCCTCTAACCCCTGCCACTAAATGTGTGGACATGAATTAATTTTTTTGGGTCCGCCATTGACTAGAATAGCAGTGTAAGTTTTAGTGTGGACATAAATTTCTTTTTAGGTATCTGGTTGGATCTTTTCTCTAACCTATTTATGTTGGGGTTAAGTCCCACAAGACATAATACTCCCATCTCAGGAAGGCTTTCATTTTTTAATAGGTAATAAAAAAGAAGATTCTAGCGGTAGAATCAAATCCAGGATCTAAAAGACCTTCTGTGATCAAAGTTTACAAGAATCATGGATAAACTTTAGTATCTCTAATTTTGAATTTATGAATGTGAGAAACATGAATTTCTAAGATCCTAAATGTGCAGATTTCTGTTAGAAATCTCACCCCTTTTGCGGCACATTTTCATGTGCAGATGTCCATGAGATAGATGTTTCTCGAGGCAAGAGGTCGGAGTAGAGTTTATTTGAGATGGATGTTTTATTCATATTATTATGGATATGATTATTGTACCGTGACATGATTATTATGACTTTATGTTTTTACCAGACTATGTATGTTTTATTTGTTTCGTGAGCATGAAGGTTGTCCAGGTCTTTGATTTATTTGTGTATTTTGTATAGGCATGAGATATTTGGTCAGGACTACGTGATGTAGCTTCATGACTTAGTATTTAGTTATGGTATAGAGACATTTCAGGAATTCTATTGTGGTTTTACAATTACATAATAGATGAGTTTTATATTTCTATGTTAAAAAAAGAAAAAGTGATCTTGCATGTCTATAAACTTAATTTATTTCGGTTTTCGCAGTTCATTGAGCTGCGGTTAATATCGTAATATGATAACAATCCGGACGCATACGCTATGTTAGTACAACCACTTAAACATGCCAAAATACAGAATTAAGCTATCCGACAAATAAATGTGTTGCACGCGAACATTAACTTTCTGAGTTCCACTATTTCACTGAACCAAAATCTATTCTCCACCCTTCAACTTTAAATATCTTTAGACATGATCTCCCGTTTCCTCAAAATACTCACCCTCTTAAATTCCTGTCTTTGTAAACTGCTTGAGTAAACCACTGCACAAGTTAATAACCACCAGACTTCTAAAGCTAGCACTGAAGCAAAGTGTGGGTTACTAGAATCAGAAATTCCAGCATGGTATGTTTTAAGTAGAAATACAATGTTCAAATCCGTATATCTTTTAATCTTCAATTTTCTGAAACTGATTTACATTTTCCTTAGGATGTTATCTATGTCAAACAAGCTTTGATATTGAAGGAAGCTAAGCATCTATACAAGAAACTTATTAGCGAGGATCCAACGGAGAGTTTGTATCTGATTCACATTATCCAAAGGCTTGGCATTGAACACCATTTTGAAGAGGAGATTGAAGCTGCTCTTCAAAAGCAATATTTGATATGGAGCAGCCATCTCAGTGATTTTGACAATACTCATCAACTCTGTGAAGTTGCACTTACATTCCGCTTGCTGAGACAAGGAGGTCATTATGTTAACGCAGGTTTGGAATCTTCATAATTAAAATAAATAAACTAAAAAAGAAGCAATGATTCTTCAAAAAATTTGAAGATTTACTCACTATGTTTTTGCTCTTCATAAATGAGACAGAGCACACGTACTTTATAATTAAAATTTGTAATAAAATTAAAAAATTATAATATAGCAAAATAAATGTATCTACCTATATTGGCTATAAACAATTACATCACTGAAATACTAAATCTTGCATGCTTGCGTATGCCAGAAATTAGTATTAAAAAGTAGCTGTATACATATAGAGTAATACTCACAAGATGAATAAACACCCATTTATCTGAGCTTAGTTTTATTGAAGGAGTTATTTAGTTACAAATCACTAACTACAATGGACGTGCAGATTTATTTCACAGTTTGAACAGTGACAAAACAAAGTTCGGAGAAAAATATGGTGATGATGTGAAGAGTCTCATTGCCCTGTATGAAGCAACCCAGCTAAGTGTTGAAGGAGAAGATAGTCTTGATGATGTAGGATACCTCAGCTGCGATCTTCTACGCTCATGGCTGTCAAGACACCAAGACCATCATGAAGCTATATATGTTGCAAACACTCTTCAGAATCCGCTTCATTATGGCTTGTCAAGATTCTTGGATAGAAGCATCTTCCTAAGTGATTTCAAAACCAAGAATGAATGGACCTGTTTAGAGGAACTTGCTAACATCAATTCCTGCATAGTTAGGTTCATGAACCAGAATGAAATTACTGAAGTTTACAAGTAAGTTTCTTAACGAATAATGCCTCTGCAAGTCATATGTTGATTTTTGGTTGGTTATTAAAATATTGGTAATGACGAGTAAACTTTTTCCCTTAATTAACAGATGGTGGAAAGAGGTTGGAATGGGGAAGGAGGAGAAGTTTGCAAGGTATCAACCTCTTAAATGGTACACGTGGCCTATGGCATGCTTCACAGATCCACGCTTTTCAGAGCAAAGGATTGAGCTCACTAAAACTATCTCTCTAATCTACGTTATTGATGACATTTTCGATGTTTATGGGACATTAGACCAGCTTACTCTATTTACAGATGCTGTTAACAGGTATTCAAAATCAAATATCTATTTATGTATCAACAACATACAAAATCTAAGTATTCTTTTGATATCCCATTTTAATTCTTACAACGAATTGATCTCTCGATTCAGATGGGACCTATCGGGTACAGAGCAACTTCCAGACTTCATGAAAACTTGTTTAAGTGTTCTTTATGACACTACCAATGATTTCGCGGAAAAGGTGTACAAAATGCATGGTTTGAACCCTATAGATACCTTAAAAAAATCGGTAAAGAGTCCATTTATTTCGTTATGTCAATTATTTTGTGAAACACCAAGTAAATATAATGAAGCATTTTTATGAAACAGTGGGTGCGATTATTGAATGCTTTCTTGGAAGAAGCACATTGGTTGAATTCTGGTCAGTTGCCAAAGGCAGAGGAGTACTTGAACAATGGAATTGATAGCACAGGAGTGCATGTTGTACTTGTCCATGCATTCTTCCTATTTGATAAGGGTATAACTAAGGAATCTGTTGCTATCATGGAAAAAGGGATTCCAAATATTATATATTCAGTGGCAAAAATTCTTCGTCTTTCTGATGATTTGGAAGGAGCTGAGGTAAAATGGAGGTCTATTCTATTATTTATATCATTTAATGCACTATTTTTTATTTTTTTTTAACAACATTTTGTAGGATGCATATTAATTCAATGTTATTTTCTAATGATGTGGATTAATACAGAGTGAAGATCAAAATGGTCTTGATGGGTCATACATTCATTGCTTCATGAATGAAAACCAAGAAGTTTCAGCTCAAGACGCACAAAGGCATGTTGTCCAATTGATTTCAAGTGAATGGAAACGTCTCAATCGAGAAATCCTGACCCCAAACTCATTTTCATCATCATTTAACAATTTTTGCCTCAATGCTGCAAGAATGGTACCTCTAATGTATCAGTACCGTAGAAATCCAAGCCTCTCCATTCTACGGGAACAAGTCAAGTCACTGCTTAATGTTTGTGCTGGGCACATATAGTACATTGTCAAAGGCTATCATTTGTGATAAAATAATTTGCGACAAATTATTTACATGTTTGTATTAGTTTACTTTATGAAGTAATTAATGTTTTCAAAATAAATTGAAATAAATATGTACCAAGGAGTTTTAATAATGTACGTGCACATGAAATTTCTTAATATAAATTTTCATACCTCTAATTTATATATATATTTTTTGTATTCAATAAGAACTAAATAATATTTTTCCATTCAAATATATAACAAAACACCTATTTATCCAAAACCGAACCCGACACTGCGGAATATTCGAAACAGTGATCAAAATGTCACTGTTCACCGACTCTTTTACCTAAATGTCACGCGAACAGTGTTATTTTCCAATATGCCACGCGGGCAAGTTCGCTACAGTGCCCAGCGAACTTGGTTTGCTGACGTGGCACGTTTCTAGTGGACAACAAGTTCGCTACTCCTAATAGCGAACTATGTTGCAATAAATTCTGACACATTGGAGAAGTTCGCTGCCACATGCAACGAACAAGGTGTGCCACGTGTCTGACATGCACCAAATTTGCTGAAGGTACAAGCGAACTAGGTGCCACGTGGAACAATCAGAATTAATGTATCAATCACAATAAAACACAAAAATGAAGGAAAATGGCAATTTAATTAATGAGTCAATCAAAATTAATGTACCAATTAGCAATCACAATTAATGTGTCAATCATAATTAGCGTACAAATAGGATTAACTTTTGATTGTACCAATCACAATTATTGTACCAATCACCAATCACTTCGAAGGGTCATAACTTTTGATTCGGATATCTAAATAAGATATTTTTTTATTTTATTTCATATAACTTTTCGAGATCTACCCAATGACATCTCATTTGCCATATTTTATCTCTCACAAACATCGTTCGAATTTGTAACAATGATATCACAAATAATTAATGTACCGATCAAAATTAATTGCGATTGATACATTAATTGTGATGGTTGATTAGTACATTAATTGTGATCAAAATTAATTGTGAATGGGGATTGATATATTAATTGTGATTGATGATTGGTACATTAATTGTGATTAATACATTAATTACAATTAATTGTCATTTTCCTTCATTTTCTGTTTTTTTATTGTGATTGGAACATTAATTCTGATCGGGAAATGAGATTGTGCCACCTAGCACACCAAGTTCGCTATCCCTGGTAGTGAACTTCGTCCAGTCAGTTTTTCTTGTAAAAGTGTGTCACGTCTCACGAAATCATTGGCTCTCCCAAGTTCGCTATCAGTCATAGCAAACTTGAACATGTGGCAGTCAACTTTTCTGGCCAAAATATGCCACGTGTAACGAAATCATTGGCTACTAAGTTCGCTGGGCACTGTAACGAACTTGCACGCGTAGCATATTAAAAAATTACACTATTAAAGTGGCATTTAGGGAAATAAATTGTTGAACAGTGACACTTTAGTCACTGTTCCAGAATATTCCTGTGACTTTTGAGCGTAAGAGGAATATTGTGCTACACAAGTCGAATGACTTGTTAGTCAATAAATTATAGATAAGTCAAACTCAAATAAATGGCGGAAATTGTATATTTTAAGTAAGAATTGGATTGTTTACCAAAAAGAAGAAGAAGAAATAAGAATTGGATTTGGTGTTAAAAAATCAAATCGGTTATACTGTGAGGCCAATTTACAGAAAGACTGAAAATAAAATTTACTGACCATACATATTGCTGCAATCAAGCTCAAAGCGAAACATCAATATTGTAAAGCTTACGAAAATAAAATGCTCTTTTGAGTAAATTGAAACTCCGGAAGTAAAGTACATTAATTGATTTGTACTAAAAAAAAGAAAAAAGAAAAAAGAACATTAGTTGATATTTTAACCTGTTGTCGTTGTCAACCATTTGATAGGATTCCAATGTAATGTCACCTTCTTCGTCTTCTTTTTCTCTCCCCTTCCCCTCTTTTAATGCTTTAATGGCTCCTTAGATATTTGGAATTCTGTGCCATTGCATGAAGGAGCAACAAGACTTTTCAGAAAGGGCATGTTGGCCAATTGGTTTCAAGTGCACATGAAAATTTGTCAATCAAGCAATGCTGACCCCAAGCTCAATTATATGTTCCTTACCTAAATCTGCCTCAATGCTGTGGTGCCTCTGGTCTATTACATCGCAATCCTAGCAACTCCAATCTACGAGAGCTACTTCTATAGTACCTACGTCTCTTCCAAATGAGAAAAATATTAAGATTTAAGTAGCTGTTTGATATGAATTTTTTTTTAGAAATTTTGAAAAAGTGGGGTGGGATAAAAAAAAAAAATTAACCTTTGGTATGAGGAAATTAAAAATATTCTGGAAAAACAATCTTTCCCATCATTTCAATTTTAACTATATAATTCCAAATGAAAATATCATCTAATACATGTATTTTTTTTTTTTCATAACATCAGTAAAATTAATTCAATATTTTTGTGAAAATTTTAAACTTACCAAATATCTTTTTGTAACTTGTCAGGAAAAAAAAAAATTCTCACTATATTACATAAATCATTTTTTTCCAGTAAAAAAATATCTCATCTACCAAACCCTTCCTAAAAAAATATAAATAAAAATATTAAGACTTAAAAGAATAAATAAAAATTTGAATTTAAATAAAATAAAAAAAATTCTATTTTAAAAAAAAATACCGACTTCAATACTCGTGCTTTATTGGAGAAAAAAATCCCCAATCTATAGGAACATGTTAATTATTGATTTATGTCGATGGCGGGAACCTCTCTTTTCTTTTCTTTTTTTGATTTTTTGTTAAGTCTCATCCTAGTATCGTCGACTTTATGAATTTTGCACTTCAATTTCGTTTATTGAGACTAGGAGGATACAATCATACAATGATACAATGTTCCTGCAGATTAGTGTATAATTCATTTTTAACTTGAAAAATATTTAATAAAAGTAAAGTTGTAAAAAGGATGTATGGCTCACCGGCTAAAGGCATTAAAATAGTGGTTAGAAAAATTAACTTTAGTAATTTTGTATTAATTTTATTTATCGGTAAACTAGCTTGCTTATCCCATCAGTCATGTTGCACTAACACGACACAGGATACGACACGACACAACACTCCGATACGTTAATTCTAAACAATGTTAAATTTTTACATGTTAGGACACGTTTTGATATTAAATAATATTTTTAATTTATATAGTGTATATTATATTTAATATTTAATAATTTAACAAAAACTAAAATTAAACTTATAATACCCCTTAATTTTGTAAAGAAATATAAGATATCTCATATATTTATATTAAACTCAATAAAATAGTAATTGTAATCCAACAAATCTAATAGCTGAAACTAAAAACGCATTGCAACGCAATTTTTGAACTCTTTTTTGAGTTTCTGCAATGCGTGTTGGAGTGTCAGACATAACACGTTAGTGTGTTTGAAGTGTCGGTGCATCATAGCCAATTAATTCACATACTAGGCTAGTTTGACAAAAGTACATATGTTTTGAGTTATTTTTTCTTTGCATTGCGTTTTGTTAGGTTAAGGAGCTTGATTCAGAGCAACTCCTATTTGTGGAAGTGAAGTAAACTTGTCATAAGATGGAAAAAAATTAAAAAAAGTAAAAAAAAAAACACATAGAGAACACAAAGCAAATCTTAACGCGGAGAACCCTATTAATATTAAGAGTAAAAATCACGAGACCAATAAATCTATGAAAACTTCCACAATGAGAATATGATTACAAAGATGATCTCTTAGTGCAAGACTAAAGGTTTCAACACAAATACTTTACCACTAAGGATGGATTATAATAATTTTATCTCTCACTTGAAAGATTTCTCTCTCATCTTTGTGGTGGTGGAACTCTATTTCGTAGGAACTCTTTCTTGCATACTTGAACTTTCAAGGCTTTCTTCCTTCTCTATTTGTAGGGGAACTTTAAGACAATTTTTCAAGTTTAGATGATTAGGGAACAAATTTAGATATAGGACTTTTAACCAAAGTTATCTCGAGTCATGTGCATACCTAAAGCCATGTGTAGCCATCCTTTAATTATAGAGAAAAAATAACTCCAACACATTTGTAATTTTAAATTTTATATGTATAACTATTAGTCTTTTATTTATTGTATAAATATTTAACACATATTTAAATTATTTTAATTCAATTTCTTTTAAAGAGATAAGCAAAATATGCTATAGAAATTTTTTAAGCAAAATGTTATGCAAGTATAAAATAAATCTTATAAAATGTAACACAGACTTATATTTAAACTTTAATAATTATATAACATGATTTTTTTTTTGGGGATAATATTTTGACAAACATCTAATATAAACTTGTATATATAATTTAATACTTACATGTAACTGCATAAAAGGTTGATTTAATGCCTCCCAAAAAAAAAAGGATGATTTAATTATTTTGACATGATAAATTTCATTTTTAATAACATAAAGATCTTATATAATTAATTTCTACACTTTGTTCTTTTTTTGGTAATTTAAAACTTTATTAACAGTTTTTTAACTCGATCATAATTATATAGGTAATATCAAATAATATATAATATCATTAATTCTTAACTCGATCATAAACTTGAGGTCCAATAAAAAATTGTTAAAGATATAACGGGGCTGATTGAGTTCTATGAAGCTTCTCAACTAAGTTTTGCAGTAGAGGATACTCTTGACGAAGCAGGGGACAGGAGCATCAAAACATCATTAACATGGTCATCGTGTAATGTTTCAAATATATTGCAGCTTCCATTTCATAAAGGCTTGTCAGGGTTCTCAGCAGAAGCAACCACTAAAACTATTTCATGGTGACTAAAGGATGGACTAGCACTTTGAAAGAGCTAGCAAAGGTTGATTCCTGCGTGGTTGGTCAAGTCCATACATAAGCAGGAAATTCTCCAGGTTTCCAATTGAGTTCATAAGTAAATTATTATTATCATTATTTTTCACATATATTTTTGGTAATTTAATTAATTAACTGATGGTGGAATGACCTTGGACTTGCCAAGGAGTCAAAGCCTGTTCGGGATGAACCTCTTCAATGGTACATGTGGTCAATGGCATGCCTAACCGATCCACAGTTTTCAGAAGAAGAAAAAAAGGATTGAGCTCACAGAACCCTTGTGCCTAGTATACATAATTGATGACGTTTTCGACGTTTGTGGATCGATTGACAAGCTTACTCTGTTTACATACGCTGTCGATAAGTACTAAAATATGTAAACATTACTAAGATGAAAAGAAAAATGTTCATACTAATCTATTTACCTAATGAAAGAAAACAAATATTTGAGTACAAATGTTAATTGGAAGCCAAAGAGCAGCTACCATTCCACTTGAAGATATGGTCCAAAGCGCTGTATGACAATAGAAATGAATTCGCCTATAAGGTCTACATAAAGCATGGATGGAACCCTATCAACAGCCTACACAAATTTGAAAGGAAACAAAAAAAAACCCTATACAAAATATTGGGTCTCATGTACTTCATGGCTGTGCATTTGGCACTTCGCTGCTTGTTGCAGTGACCGCTAGACTCTAATGCTTTCTTGGTAAAAGCACAGCGGTTTTCTTCCCGTCACTTGCCAAAGGCAGAGGAGAACCTTAAGAAAGGGCTTGCCACTACACGGGTACAAGTGTTGCTAAGACAAACATTCTTTCTCCTAGATCAGGGCATAAGCAAAGAAACTACAGTTCTTTTGGATAAAACATAGATTATGAATTTGGAAGTCTACTGGAAGGGATAACTTATTTAACAGGCATGTGTATAAGGTTCAAAATTCCTAGCCCACGGAAGCAAAAACAAAATTCAATATTAGCGCTTGATCAGTGAGGTATTGGTTTGTCTTCTGACCATTATTTATCCCCTTCCCCAGTGGAAGTTCTAACTTGACCCCAAGTACGACACAACTCATTTCAATTAACGCAGTAATTTGATAATCAGTGAAATCAACGGCTACAAAAATGGATGCAAGGTCTACCACATGTTTTGGGGCAAATCTATTTCCAGTTTCTTCTTCCTTGCAAGATCGACAAGCGTTTTAGCTTCTCCAATCATTCCCTCGGAAAAAAGCCCCTCCACGACACCCTTCAATACTCCCACATCACTAAGCAACCTTCCATTGGTTGCCAAAGCAACTTTGCAGAGTTGAAAAGCCATATCAAAATCACCCTTCTCAGAGAGAAAGGGAACAAGAGTGCCATAAGTAGTACGATTCGCAGTGCCTACACATTTCACCAACTCATCATACCAGTGCTTAGCTTCTTCCAGTTTGCCATCACTACAGAAACCCTTAATCAAGACATTGAAACAATGAACATCAGGTTGAACCCCCTTCAATCTCATTTCATCAACTAGCTCAACCGCTTCCATTACTCGGCCACCAAGAATCATCCCCTTCAACCTCATCTTATAACTCACGACATCAGGATCAACACCATCCCGGGTTTGCATCAGTGCCCAAATCTTTTCACCTTCTTCATACCCACGCTTCTCATAAAACGCACCAAGGAGAGTATTGAAGGTAATTAGATTAGGCTCCATTCCCAACTCCTCCATCTCGCGAAGCATTCCAAGAGCCAAATCAGTGGAACCCATATCACAAAACGCATAAGTAACGACATTATAGGAGACAACATTAAGCTGTATGGAGTACTTGGAAGGAAATTGGCGAAAAAGCTCTTCAACGACGTCGTACCTCTTGGCGGAGACGGCAGCGCGGAGGAGGGCAGAGAAGGACTTGACAATGCGGTTGCAATTGAAGGTTGGCATTTCGTCGAACAGTGCGAGTGCATGGTCGAACATGCCAGCTTTACCATAGAGAGAGATGAGGCGAATGACGAAGCCTTCGAAGGAGATAAGCTTGTAGTTCTTTTGGTCCTCAAGGATCTCTTCGATCATTGGGAAGGCCTTCACCTTCGCCAGACGCAACACGGTGGACTTGTAGATATCGCTCCTCTGTCAAAAGTGCTTGTTCTTGCATAACTTCTTGAACTTGTCGACCACTTTTCGCAGCCCTTGAGGTGTCTCGTAATCATATTTATTGGTGTGAACACGTGTTACGGCCACAGGGTTGAGGACGGCGGTGGCGGCGGTGGTGGTGGATGGCTTGGCGGTGAAGATTCGAAGCAGACGATTCGTACTCGCACAAGACATTCTCGGGAGAAGTGAAGGAAAGAGCTTTAAGCGGAGGGAGGAGGGTTTAGGGGTTAGGAATTATACGAGACAAACGCTACTACGCTTGCGCTAACCCCAACACAACCAGGATTTATGATGTTGAAATACTTCGTGCCCGCAAAATACTTGCGCTAACCCTTACTTTTTTTTTCTCAATTTTTTAATGAGTTTCATAAAAAAAAAAATTTATGTATTATACATGATTTGCTTATTTGATGTTTTTGGATTACAATTATTTATATAAGCATGCCAAGTTGGTAAAATATTCCCAACATTCAACAATGATAAAAATCAAAGTACACATGTAATATTTTTTCTTTTTTCATATATTTTTTTCCGGTGAAGGTAAGATTTCAATTACATTTCGTTTAAGATATACCATTCTTTTGGTATTCCACTCCGATCCTCACTATGAATAGATCTCTCGATTCAGATGGATACTGGCTGTCACGGAGCAACTTTCATATTTCATGAAAATTTGTTTCATTGCTCTTGGTGTGGTGACATTTGTTATCGGTACGTGGTCTCGGTCCTTTATGTGTTTTCTTTTAACTCATATTATGCACTACAAGCTACATCAGTGAACTCCTTGGGCAGTAACTTGTTTGAGAGTTAGTTTTAAGAGAGAAAAAAATAATTTTATTAATCTATTCCTTTATTTACGAGTTTAAAAAAATAAGAGAAATGATTTGGAAATTTCACAAAATCCTTCAAAATTCATCTTGTTCTTAAAATTAAAGTTTCTTCAATTTTGAGATTTTAACTCCCAAAGAAAGGAAGATAATATCTTTCATTTTTCTTCCCTTCTTTTTCCTTCCTCTCCTTTGAATTCCTTTTATTTTCTTCCTTTTCAAACTCCTAAAAAAAACCTAAAAGTCTATCTGGGTCCAAATCAGTGTTTCCTATTTCACCGTAACACTTCTTAGCTTCATCCATAATCTCCTGATTAACAAAGTCTTTAATCAAAACATTCATGCTAATCAGATTGCTCACTTGTTTTTTTAAATTAACAATATTGTCTTGTCAGTTGTTCCCTCGTTTGTCATAATTTAGGTTATATAATTTTTTTATTCCTTCTATTAGTAATATCTTCAAATATGGGTTTGGCATTTTTGCGTCTCTATACAACTTGGGCGTAAACCAAAAATATAACTTACTAAACAAATTAGATTACACATTTACACCAATTAAAATTGTTTCTTTGCAGAACGCAAACTTATGCATTTTATTTTATTTTATTTTGTGAAATAGGAAATTAGTTAAAGATCTGTCAAGATGTTTGCCTCTACTTAGTGGTACTATTATTTCACCAAGTACGCAAAGGCATATTCCTGATCTGGTGTTATTGCCCATAGTAGCCTCATCTCACCACTCTTTGAGTTCTTTTACCTGCCAAGAGAGGATGAATTTGAGTTTAAAAAAGATTGGTCAGTTTAACGATTAAATCATTAACTAATTATATTTTTGTTGTGAGTCATTTTTACGAGAAAGATTATACTTACAACCTATTTTTGTTTATAATCTCTTACAATCATATCTTAACATCGTTGATTTCCATCAATCAACGGTTATAATTTATTTTAAATTAATAATTAATTAATGAGTTTGATTTGGAAAAATAATAATCGTTGATTGACGAAAATCAACAATGTTAAAATATGATTGTGAATTGTAAACAAAAATATGTTACAAGTATAACCTTCCTCATTTTTTATTATGTTCTTCAATTAAAATTGATTGAATTAATAATTTAGTAGACTGAATTAATCAATTTATGACTTAAAAGTTTTATCAGTTGAGTCTTTGATTTTTCTTTTAAAATATTGCTTAAAACTATTTTAAAAATGAGTTTTCAATAAGTTGGACATTTTGGTTTGTGTTTCATTAAATATTTACTAAATTGATTTAACCAATAGTTTATCTATAATTATTCACAAATTAAAATGGTAAGAAAATTGATTAATTGTAAATAAATTGTTAATCATTTAAGTCTGATAAGCTATGCGTTTAACCAAGCTGAATTAAACTGATGTTTTCTCTAAAATTTGTTGGCAAGGGAGACAACAAAAAAATTGCTTGATATACAAATTTCTATCCAAAATCAACAATATTTTTCACATTTTATCCTCTAAACTATTTTATCCATATTTATTTTAAAAATAAAATTATTTTATGTACTGTGTATGATATGATTTAGTTTGAGTCATTCAAAAAATTGCAATTTAGAACTAATTTGGTGTTGATGGAGTTTCTGGTAATAATAAATATCAAATTTTCGTTTGATCGAAGACAATTAAGTTCTTTAGCATGTTATCGTAATGGTTAATATAACATCCCCTCCTCGAACCGGTTCAATTAACATGCATATGATACAAATAGAAATAGCGGAAGACTTAATTTACGAAAATACGAGCTAACTTTTTTTCCTTTTTCATTAATCTTAATTCACATGATATCTCACATTGCATACTTATCCTAATTTAATTCGTATTTAACGAAGACGAAAATCGGACAGAGTAACCTCTGTAAATTGGACAACTGGGGATTTACTAATCCCATCTCAAAGGTTGTTGATAAATAGTTTATACCATATATAATTTCAGAAATACCAGATATCTATAAAGGACTATATACCCATCCATTGGTGCATGCATAACTGGCTCCGTGCCACTATGTCTAACAACATACATATTTCAGCACATGCACATATCGGAATACACAAATGTACATGCATCAATTCTGAACACATGTACAAAACATATACGGACCATATATTGTATAATGGATCAAACATCATGATCCCAAAATGAATAGAACACTATACAACAGTACATATTCTCCAAAAATAACTCTATAATAAATAGTAGTGTCAGACCACCCAGAACTCCATATCCTCATACTAGTACCTCTAGCCACGGGTAGTGTCCTTGTCCCATAAGGGCTCTTCAATTAACTATGTTCCTGAAATCATATCCCCAGACGGGGTTAGAGACGAATCTCTAGTAAGGTCTAGGTTTATGAAAACTCTCCATACCCTGGGCTCACTTCCTGCATGACAGTCAGATACATAATATACAAAACATCATATAAGCAAATATCATAGCTGAACAAGCATATACACATATCTTATCAAAGATGCACGCAGTATTTTCCAAGGGAGGGCCCCAAGCGAAAATCAACGCACGTAAATTCATTTACGAAAATCAACGCACGTAATCATATCAGAACAAAGCATATCTTACCAGAGATGTACGTAGTCATTCCCAAGGGATGACTCCAAGCGAAAATCAACGTACGTAACAAATATCATATACAAAATCATCACAATAATCACATCAGAACAAAACATATCTTATCAGAGACGTACGCAGTCATTCCCAAGGGATGACCCCAAGCGGAAATCAACGTACGTGTTCCCAAGGGAGGACCCCAAGCGAAACCAGAACATATCAGATGTGTACACCATCAGTCTCGAGGGATGACCCCAAGCAGACATCAGTGCACATAGGATCAATGGCCAGAGATCATCACATAACAGATGTGTACACAGTCAATCCCAAGGGAGGACCCCAAACGGAAATCAGTGCACATGTTCCCAAGAGAGGACCCCAAGCGGAACTCAACATATAACAGATATATACACAGTCAGTCCCAAAGGAGGACCCCAAGCGGATATCAGTGCATATAGAATCAATGGCCAGAGATCATTACAGAAATCACATCAAAACATATCAAAGTAAACACATCAAAACATATCACATCACATCATCATATAGTTCTACATGAGTGCATCTATATCATATATCTCATACATATCATACAACCTGACCACAGTCCGTACACTATGGCGGAACACAAAGTAGGAGTGAATCCCATAAACATAGAGCTTACCTCTTGGAGCTTTACAGTTTTCTTACTTGAAAAACAAGCTACTTATCTTGCTCCACGAGAATCCAAACGTTCACAGTCCCTAGGCACACCTAGAGAAGGAATTCAACACAAAACTCATTAAAATGATATAATGCCATGTAAATATACAAGACACACACTTTATTGTTTATTTTCTTTTTACTTAATCATATTAAGTCATGAGTGGGTGGTTCTTTGTTCAACAAATCCCCACAAAATTCCATATATTCACTTAGTTTTAGGATAGTCCCAAAGGCCTTTAGAACACTCATTACTCCTCTTAGCACCTAAAAGCCTATTTTTCCTAATTTAAGGCAGAATGCCCATTACAAAGGAGCTATAAGATTTCTCTTTGTCTAGTGCCTAAACCCAAGCTTAGCCACCTATATAAATTATTTTACGCATATAAGTGTTCTCACTTTGCAAAACAATATCTCCGAACATATACCTCCTTTGAAAATGGCCAAAACTCATTTTAAGGCCATACAAAGGAGCTACCTTATTTTCTTTTCTATTTCACCAAAGCGAAGGTCCATACACCTTAGAATGTTATTCCACGCATAAAAGTATGCTCGCTATGTAAAACAGTAACTCATAGCACATACTTCCTTTGAAAATGGCTAAGAGGCACATAAAGGAAATCATGCCAACTTCATGATTCCAATGCTTTAGTCCATCAAATTCAAGCTTATCACACACCTCTAATCCAAGATTCATTAATTCATATATATACGGTACTTTTCATCTCTACAGTACTATTGATGTATACGTCACTATTCACGTATACGACACTATTTAAAAATACGGTATCTTTAATTTCCCAAATACTTTTTCACCGTTAAAATTCTCATCTAAACACTTTTCTCAACATGAGCTAAACCTGAATTAAGCTCTAACATGCTCAATCAAACCAAATTTTCAAAATAAAAACCTAAATTCAATCTTCATAAAAACATGAAAAGGAAGAGAATTTCTTACCACAATGCACTCTAGAACAAAGGAGAGATGAGTTTCTAAGCTCCCACGGCCTCAAAATTCATTTTTTCCAGGAAATTTGAAATTTTGGGGGGAGAAGATCTCTCTGCAGTGAACCCTACCCAGAAATACTAGTACCAATGGATTTCTCTCGAAATTTCTCACAAGTTTGACTTTAGAACGAAGTGATTTGGATCTCTAGCTCAACTTATAAGCCTTGGAAGATTTGATTGCAAAACCCCCCATTTTCTTTTCTACTTCGCTGTGTTGTCAGCGGGATTTGAAGAAAGAACGATGAATAATAACTCACATGAGTTACTGAAGTGAGTTTACTATATCAGCGAGTATAAACTTATCTATCTACTAACCTCCATTTATTACCAAACTTTATTCAATGGACTAGAATATTTTTCTAGTCATATTTTTAACTTTACTTTCACTTTTCGGGTAACTTTGTTTACCCGCATTTTTATCCTTTAACTGTCATTTTAACTATTTTTTCACGAAAGGTGACTTTCTTTTTTATACTTCAATATTAAATCTATAATTACTAATGAGGGTTATTATAATTAACATGGGTTGAATAAATAAACAAACAAATATATCCGGTAACTTGGGTTAAATGAGAGGAGAATAAACTAAGGGTTAAAAGTTTTTTATGTTACATAAAAATATCAAATCATTCCTGCACAAACATAATAACATAGTCCCATGAAAGTTTAAAAAAGAAAAAATAAAATAAAATTGAAAGCGACGTTTTTTTCTATCTCGAGGAACGGATTGAATTCTTACGTTACATAGGAATTTCAATCCCCGTAAACTAATCCCCATGTAACTCAAATTTACTAGAAGAGTAATACTTTTCATGACAAAATGGCACACCACATGCCAAGTTGGGCACATATCATGTTTGCTTTAAAAATAAATAAATAAATGAATAAATAAATATTAAATTGCAGGCTGAAAGGCACTAAATATGCCCTCTGCTTTAACAACCTTGCTCAATTGTGCTCTTGCAGTTACAGTCAAACAGACCAACTACCAAAGACCTTACAAATCACGCCAAAGTGCACATGAAAGCTTAATTTCACTTTCTTAATTATTTACGAATAATATATATTTTTCTTTTACTTACAGCTTTTTAGCTTCTACCAAGGGTGTGAATAAGTAAAAATATCTTTGATCCGGATTATTTTACCAAATTCATTTGTAGTTAAACTTATATGGTGCGGTGGTAAATTTATCGTATAAAGCCCTTATTAGACTATTAAGTTGTAAGTTAGGAACAATTTAAGTCAGATTTCAATTAACTAAAAAAAAAATATCCATGTTATATCTAATTGTTGCATTTTATAAAATAAAAAAAAAAAAAACCATAATTTATAGTCACATTCTGTTATGAGATTCCAACATGTAAAAGACACACTTAAATGGCCAAATCGAATATATTTGTGTGTGTCATAAGAAACACACCTGAATTAACTTGGAACCATAGAAAAAGGCCAACGAAACATACATCAATGTACTTGTACTTTTTTTTCTCTCTCTCTTCATTTGTCTCTCTCACATGATACCTCTGTTAGAAGCACTTATATAGCCACCACCCCACCAATTAAGTCCTCATTTTAGAGAGCCTTGAAAGACATTTCTTCAATACCTGTATAGACCCATTTTTTCGCAAATGGAGTATGAAGATGAAGATTGGCTATGTGTCTCTCTGGAAGACTTTTCTCTTGCTACTGAAAATGGTAGTAGCAAGGGAAGGGTGAGTAGGAAGAGGAACTATGATGATGACACAAGAGAGTACAAATCCAAGAACCTTGAAACTGAAAGGAGGAGGAGGGAAAAACTCAGTAGCAGGCTCTTGATGTTGCGGTCTTTAGTACCTATCATCACAAATGTAACCAACCAAACCACCTAAGCCCTCACTTTCTTACTTATCCTTCTTTATCTCATCGATTATTCAGTATTTTGTTTCATATATTAGTTTAACAATTGCACATTAAACATTGTAATTTAAACTGATTATAAAGTGAAATTTTGATTTCAGATGAACAAAGCAACCATTGTTGAAGATGCTATCACCTACATCATGAAGCTGCAAGATAAAGTGCAGAGTCTCAGCCAAGAGCTTCTCCAATTGGAAGCAACTTCAGAGGAAACAGGGGAGACAAGGATTGATGAAACTGATGCTGCAGAGGATATGAAGAATTGGGGGATACAGGTCATCTACAAGATCCTTTCTTTAGTTGATTAAATGAATATTTTCTGTAAATGTAATTATTTAATAATGTTGCAGGCAGAGGTTAAGGTGGCACAAATCGACGTGAATAAACTCTGGGTCAAGATCATCATTGAGAAGAAGAGGGGAAGGTTCAAGAAACTGATGGAGGCCATGAATGATTTTGGCATTGAGCTCATAGACACCAATCTTACAACAGCAAAAGGAGCATTTGTGATTACAAGCTGCATGCAGGTGACTATAGTAAAGATGAGAATCAAGCTTGCTTTTTACTACTGTTACTACAATCACATCATAGGGCACTCTATGTTATCAGACTCGAAGATGAACCTTGATTCATCTTTGTAATATAATATGCATATGTGTTATCTTCAGAAACTTGACCATGTGCTAAAATAATATTCTCTTTAATAGATTTTAACTATGAGATTTTTGAGGAGCTGAAATTAATTATGTTATTGATCAGGGCAAGGATGGTGAAAGACTTGCAGTTCATCAAATCAAGAATGTGTTGGAAGATATTATCAGTGGCATATAGAGCAAGTTGATACGAGCTTTTAGTTATTTTGTTGTCAAGTCACCTTCCACGAGAAGATAGTACTACTAGCATATGAGAAGATAGAAATAGTTGTGTAATTAAAAAAAATAGAAAAAACTACGTGCCTGTTAAGATTTTATTTTCTATTAGTGTTGTCTAATGCATATTTAGTATACTATCAGCTAAACAGGTATTTTTTTTCTGTCTAAGTTATTATAAAATCTGTTCATCTTCTTGCAACTCATCAATCCCTTCATTCAACCCCTCCGCAAAAAAAAGAGACATATGTTAACATCAATCAAAACTGGACACTGATATTAGTAGCTGAAATATGTTAATTAGATAAGAGAAATGTTTTTTTAATTAAAAAGATCACACAAACCTAGATCAGTTTAAATTAAAACAGTAAAAAGAAAAACCACTCCCAGTTAAACCCGACTAGCGAGTATGGGGTGGAGAAAATTCTTGTATGCAACTTTACCCTTGCATAATTGCAAAGAGGCTGTTTCCTAGATTCGCAGTCATGAAGAAACAGTTTTACCACTGCTCCAGTTCGCTCCCTTTTTAGTTTAAATTAAAACAGTATACGAATTAAAATAAAATGAGTAAACTTACTTCTAGGCATAGGCATGGTGTCAGCTCATAATACTTTCGCAATGGAAATGAAAACCAATAACAAATTATATTTTTGGTTTGCAATAACTACCTACTTTATGTTTTATTTTACCTTCCATCTGTCTGAAGATTAAGCAAAGGTTATAAAGGTTGAATGGCCTAAGAAATGAAGGTGGTCTGAGTTAATAGTGATTGTGGGGGAAGGGGAGAGAGACAAGAGCCTGCCACTGCTTAAACCTTAAATAAAAAGCAACAGTAGAACCAATGCTGTCTACTTGCCACTCAAGTACAGAAGTCTGCGCTGTACTTCAACAAAACTGAAGCTATGTACATAAGAATATGGCTCCAGAATATGAGTTCAACATGGTTGTCCAATATCAAAGAAAAAAATTTGTCTTTTATCTAGGACCATTACCAGTTAGAATTGAAACGGAGATAGGTTTCCAATGGTGATGATGAGGAGATAACAACTTTATACTGAATATTTGAATCAGACCAAACAAGTTAATATCACATTTCTTTCTCAGTCTTTAGAAAACACAACAAAGGTTAGAAAGAAATTCACAGTACACTGACATTATTGACCAGACTATCAAATAATTTAATCAAATTAGAACCACATTTTTTACCTTAGCTGTCTCATTTTGATTTATGATCCTTCTATCATGACCAGGTGAACATCACCTTAGTTTTCAATTTTAACTTGAAGCAACTAAATTTTTTTCCTACTCAAAAATTGAGAGGTAAATTTGGTTTCAACAATCATCCAAATAACAGTCAATGTTAGAAGATTCTCTGAATATTTTCAGTGTAGGATCAAGTAGCCTTTTCTTTCAAAGAATAACTCCCTTCTGAGTAAAATGAAAAGTAAAAGAAAAGGAAGGAAAGAAAGAAAGAAATGATATGATATGAAATGAAATAACTTTCCTTGAACATTAGAAAAAAGCGGCACACAAAATTGCAGAAGGATTTTTTACAATAAACACCGCTATCAGTTTCTTTTTTTCCCCACAACTGATTTCTAATTTAATCACAACCCTAATAGGATCTATGCACATTACACCATATAATTCTTTCCAAAGGAAAAAAAAGAAAACAAAATTTAGAAAAGGAAAAGAAGAAACCATCTTTTCAGACAAACAAACAATCTTTCATCTCTGATCTTGAAATCCAGTGCTCTTCCTTCCAGCTATATTTAGCGAAAGACCTGCACACCACATTCAATTTATAAATCAAAACCATAAAATAAATGAGAATTGAAATACATCCAGTCAATGTTTGGCAGTCTAGAAAGTGATTATGGATGAGATGAAAATTGCAAGCTTATGTTTTTCCATTGTAAATTCTATTGAAAGCCAATAATTAAAAGGTTGAAAGAAATTCAGGACAAGTCATCAAGAAATAACAGCTATATAGACACACACACACACACACAGAGAGAGAGAGAGTACCTTGAGATCTACAAACTGGGGGATCTTCAAAGAGAGACAGAGAGAGTTGTTTATGGGCAATACCAATATCAATGAGAATGAGACCTGATGATGGATCATTCACAATGATATCCTTCACAGGTAGCCATAGGAAAAGCTCTTCCTGAGATAGACCCTCCAACCCTTTTAGCTGACCAAAACTGAGGTTAGCACGGACCACAGTTTCAAACAACACTCTTGTTTCATATTTGGCCATGCAAGGACCATCAAGGTTCACCTCCAAACGACCCCTTTGGTCCAAATTGTATGACTTTACACTCTCCGGGAAGAGCCCAGCTGGTAGGCCATGGCTGCGGAGGACCTCATGAATAGAAGAACGTGCAGCACTCGCTGTGAGAGTAAGAACAACAACAACAACAACAAGAAACATGGCTTCAAAATATCTTGGTGCCATAGACATGTTGAGAAGGATTGAAGGAGGAAGCTAATGAAGTAGCTTTTGAGTTTTGGGCACAGCAGATAAAGGTGTTTGGTGCTTGAGGTTTTAACAGGGTTTTTAAGGTATCATAGTTTATGAACACTATGATTGGAAGTGGGAGCCAGACAGGACATTTGATTGAATTTCTAGGTTTCCTTGTTGGCATTACATGGATAGTTTATGTGAAATGAACAAACTACCCTTGCGTTACAATCTATGAATGAGGAAATGTAACGAGGAAGCAGGGCAAAATTTGAGATCCCAAGTTGGAAATGGAATAAAGTTAACGTTACATTTTAATCAATTATATTAATGAAAATTAGTAGGTGGTGACACTGATGATGGATATAAAACTATATAATAAAGAATAAATGATGATTTTGGATGAATACAACTTTGCCTTTACGATTTCTGATACTTTTTTTTTTCTCTAGCGATAACTTTGTACGTAAGTCGTAAACATAACATGGATTTGAAAATCTTTCACTCGTCTTTTGGCGCTTTGGCCTTGATCTGCGCTTGCAGGTGGGGCCATATACACCTTTTTCCTCTCTCTTTTACTCATAATTGTTCTATTTTCTTCGTCATCTTTTTACTATAGTATCGAGTATCGAGTATCAAGTATCAAATATCATGGCCAAACCAAAGTCATGCTATGTCGAATGTTCTAGAAAACAATTATTTTGATAATTTTTTTCCTTTTATTAATTTAGCTAAGAAGAATTTAAGCAAAGATTAAAAGTGGAGGATGTGGATCCATTGTAAACACATTAATGATACATAAAACATGCGTGCTAGAATTTGCGCACACGCATTTATTAAAAACATTTCGGTCGTGAATTTCGTTGATCAAATTGTGCTGGGAGTAAAAGTAGCTATGGGAATCACTGGATACGAAAATTTTGTCCATGGTGTAGTTAATTTAGTTTTGAAGGCTATTAATTATTTCTATAAACTTTTTTTTTCTTTTCTTTTTTGAGGAGTGGGGAAGGGGAGTACTTCTTCAACTTTGAGCTCTAAACTTTTCAAAAAAAATTTGTGGACACGGACACGCTCGGACACGCGTTCGACACGCAGTCAACATTTGAGGATACACGGTTAATTTTCGGACACGTTTTTTCGACACGTAGTCAACTTTTTCCGACACGCGGTCAACGCTCGGATACATTTTTTTTTTAATCTTAATTTTATTTTGTTAACTAAATATAAAGAAATAATTTATAAATTAATTTTTTTCTGTTATGAAATTTGACATGAAAAATTAACAAAGTACGAAAAATTATTTATATTTATATTTATGTTACGAAATTTAAATATTTGATTGGTTATATGACTTATTATGACTCTTATATGTATTAAATATAAATTACATTATATATATTAAAAATTTTATTTAATATCAAAACGTGTCCCAACGTGTCGAAATATGACATTTTTTAGAATTAACGTGTCGGCATGTCGTGTCGTATCGTGTCCCGTTAGAGGTGGCAAAGTGGGCGGCTCGCCCCGCCTCGCCCCACCCTGCCAAAAAATGAGTCAGCCCGGCCCGGCCCGCTTTTGAATGTGGGCTGAAAAATTGAGCCCGACCCGCCCCGTTTGGCGGGTTGGCCCGCCAGCCCGAGCCTATTTTACACTGACCCGCCTCGGCCCGTATAATATCCCTAACCTAATTAATTAGTAAATTACAAGTAATTAAATAATTAAGCATGTTTTAGTGAGTAAAATTAAGTATAAGGCTTAATGAAATGAATCTGAGTCACTTTGGAGTTAAAAAGTGTACTCAGTGAAAATTAAGGAGTATAAATGGGTACTGGCAAAAGTGCCCAAAATATAAAAATAAAGTTGTAAATATTCCTAGAATAATATTCCAGACTTTTGGGTAAAGTTTGGTAATTAATGGAGTTGAATAGATAGACGAACCAATACCCGCTTAAAGCCACTTAACATAAGTTAAGTGACCAAAGCAACAAAAGAAACCCAATTGTCCCTCCCATTCCCGTCGCCAGAAAGAAGAAGAAGGAAGAGAAGAAGAGGGAGGAAAGGAAGAGAGGAAGAGAAACCCTAGGGGGAGCTAATCTCAACCATTTTGAGTGATTCCAAAGCCTAAACCACTCCAAATCTCCTCCTCTTTCATAATCCTTGCTTTGTTTTGAGTGGGGAGCATTGTGGAGAGGGATATTGGCTCTCAAAAATTCAGCCCTTTGGTGAAATTTGAGGTTTTGAGTGCTTCAACCTCCATTGAAGCTTGAGGAGCCATCAATCCTTGGTTGTGTGACCATTGGTGGTAAGATTCTAACCCTTGAACCATGTTTTCTTGGAAATTTCATGATATAGGGTTTTGAATGAATAGTGTTATGGGTTTTGTGAGAATTTGAGTAAATTGGCTATGTTGTGGTAGAATTGAGACTTAGCACATGTTGAGAAAAATGCTAGGAATGTCATTTAATCGGTAAAAATGAGCCTAGTTAGTTAAATGACTATACTTGGTATATTGCAAGATTATCATGCTTGTTGAAGAGTTTTCTTGCAATTATGACCAATGGGTTGGCTTGGTTGATTGATGATTGGATCCTTGTGATGTCTAGGATTGAGACATTTGGACCAACCGTGAGTGATCAACCATTGGAGCAAGCTATGGAGCTTGATTAGCTCCATTGGATAGGTGAGTTCATGCTTATGTTTGGTATGAATTGTATAGCTTGGATGATAGCTATGTGATGTTATTGGATGCAATATATGTTAATTGCATTAAACCTTGTGTAGGTTTTGTTTGAGAAGTGGAGTATTTTAATTGATTGGCTGTGGAAACTGTTGGTGGTGAACAAAGGTCGAATTGAAGCTGAGGTAAGCCTTCGGACCTTGGGTGTAATTCCCTTGACTGTTCTACCAAGCCCTGAAAGGGTGGAGGTTGTGATTGTGTATATAAATGCAATAAAATAGTGTAATGCTTTGTTATACGTATGTGTATGCATTTGGTGTGGCATAGGATGGTGTTTCCCTATGTTGGTATGTTGCATGACGATGCGTAAATCATACTTGGTAGTTAGCTGGCCAGTAGGACTATTTGCATCTGAGTTTCCTTAGGACAGCTTGAGAGCTCGAGGGATTTCTCCTGGAGATGTATTGCACTTCGCATAGATATGTATTTACTGCATTATTATTGTTATTGCTATTACACTGATATGGAACTGTGGGGTGGAGAGATGCTCCAAGGACCCCTGGTTTACTGGATATATTCGTATATCTCACCCCGTGTTGTGGGGACCCCCTTTCAGGTAAGGATGCTGCAGGAGCCTCTGATGGCAAGTGGCCTTATTTGCAGTAGATCATGCATGAAGAAAATGATGTTTTGAGATCATACATGTTGTTTTGTAGATTTACATGTATAGGATTGATCATTGATAGCATTGACGTATGTATATCTCGTTATATTTGATGGACTTAGCCTATGATCATGCCATTGTATATCTCTTTGGTTGATGAGAGCCAAGAGATGATCATAGCCTTTTGTAGCTAAGTCCCCCGTTATGTAATTAAACTTGTATCAATGCTATTTACTTCCAGGATATGAATGCATGATGAATATTGGATTGTTGAGCTGGAAATTATATTAGGTACCTAGTGCTAAATTGGAAAATGTTGAGAAAACAAATACATCCCGTCCGGTTGACCAATTTTCATACCCAAGGTGATGGAATTGGACTTTGATGTCTCTATGGAAGTTGTATACATTTCTCTTAGCTTTCCATAGAGACCAAAATGGTGTAATTTGAGTGAGTATAGCTCAAGTTATGAGTGGAAAACTATAGGTAGGTTAAATGACCTTGTTTTGGGTCACCCAGCCCTGTGGATGGCGCTTGGGGCGCCAGATTCACGCTTGGGGCGCCAAATTACGAGATCAGACAGTAGCATCCACGCTTGGGGCGCCAGATTCACGCTTGGGGCATCAACTTTCTGTTTTCCCACGCTCTGGGCGTGGATCTCACGCTACGGGCGCGGGGGTTCTGGAGGTTTCGCACCCTTTTCTTAGAAAATGCATAACTTTGGCTACGGTGCTCCGATTTGAGCGCGGTTTGAACCCACGCGTAGCTAATGAAAAATACTATAACATAGTAGAAAATGGGAATCATAAAAGAAGTTTAGAATTAATTGATAATTAAAGTGATGAAGACATTTAACGACGTACTGTCAAGTAGAATGGAAATATAATATTAAGTTTTGTCCCACTATTCCGCGAAGTATATATAGTTATGATCACGCACCTGGTTATTTAAATCCGGCTTGTTTAAAAAGGAAAAATTTATCCAGTTTTCTAATTGAACCAATGTGATTGTAACTGCGCTTAATGCCGTACGCAATGATAACAATCCGGTTCTAGAACGGGGTGTTACATTTTATGGTATCAGAGCAGTTTCGTAGGGAATAACTGTTAGCTATTGTTGAGTATGCTTAGTGTTTGATGCTTTATAGTTGTTTTGGTACTCTTTATGATTATTGCACTTGTGATCACTAAGTATGAGCCTGATCAACTCATTTCTGTGTGTAACATGTGTAGTGACATGACGAGGAACCGGAATAACCCTGAAACATCGAATGTCAATGCTCAGCCAGACACTGTTTTGGCTGCTCTTGTGAGGCCTAGAAGTGGCCGTGTGGCAACGGGCGTACAACCTGATCCCGTGGCTGAAGCTCTTGCAGCCGTTCAGAGGGAGTTGGCTGCTAGCAGGCAAGCCAATGAAAATCTGATGAAAACAAATGAAGACTCGCGGATTGCTATGGCCGCGATGATGACTGAGTTGAGGACGTTGAGGGGTACTAGGCCCGTGAACCGGCAACCCACTCCTCCTCCTCACACGGCTACGCCTTCTCCACCTCCTTCACAGGAAGAGGGTGTAGCGGGTAACAATGAATGTGAGGCTAGTCATCCTTCTGGAAGCCACAGTCATCACACTGAGGTCCGTCAACCACGTGTTGAG